GAGGACAAATGGACTAAAATTTTCATTTTTCGACCAAAAGTCATTCCTTATAAAAAGTTCTGCTTGTTTAAAAAAGTCCATTGCCATACTAATTTGAAAATATTATACAGGGGGGTCAAAAAACAAGAAAACATGAAATACTCTCAGGAGTAAACTACCTTTATTTTTCGTTTTGGAGCAAAATGACAAATAAAAAAAAGATTTCAAATTGTATCTAAAGACCATTTGTAAAATTTTAACTTGGTATTCGGAAAAATCAAATTTGGAATATTATTCCAAATTTTATTTTTCTTAGTTTTAAAATTTAATTTCATATTGACAAAAATGACACAATCAACAATAATCAAGTAACGCCAAATTGACAATTTGCATTCTATCATTGTTCATTTTGTAAATTTACACAAAATGTCCGGGTTAAGAACCCTATACATAGGTAAAGGATAGATACGTGAAATGAGGTACAAAAGTATAAATTAGAAATTAAATTTTAAAACTTTATAAGAAAAAGAAAATTTGGAATACTGAGTTGAAATTTTACAATTAGTCTTTGGATAGGATATCCTAATAATATTATTTGTTATTTTGCTCCAAAACGAAAAATAAAGGTAGTTTATTCCTGAGAGTATTTCATGTTTTCTTGTTTTTCGACCCCTAGTATAAAATTTTCAAAAAGTAATAGACTTTTAAAAACAAGCAGAACTTTTTATGAAGAATGACTTTTGGTCCATTTGTCCTCTTGGGCCCTCTAGTATAAAAAGTATACGCTAAAAAATGGAACCTACTAGGTAGGTAAATAAAAAAAAATCAAAATAAAATCCAAATTTAAGCTACTACGTTAAACCTAAAAAATACAATTTTATTTACGGTAACAATTATAGGAGGTTACAATAGGTTAAAAATTATAATATTGTAAATTACAATTTCTAATATGTATGGTTTAAAAATTATATTTTATTTATTGTGATGAGTAGGTTGGTAGGGTAGGTAAACCCTACCAACCTACCCAAATAGATTTTGCCAACCGTGTTTGGATTTGGAACCAACTGCCTAGACTTTGGGGGGGCGACTCCCCCCCTACACCCCCTTAGGTCCGGCCCTGAGTAGCATCATTCACAATACTCTATTAAATGAAATAGTCAAAATTCTACTATTTGAATTAGTACCAGCATTTTTTACTAATAAAGTAGTCGTTTTCACTTTAAAATGGTTATATTTTACTACTTAAATAGTTAAAGTTTGACTAATTTAAGATAAGTCACCATCTTTGACTGTTTCGAATAGTTAAAAGTAATTTCTTTCATCGTTTGTTTAATATTATGAACAATATTTATAGACAAATAAAATTATTTTTTATAAAAGTGACTGATAGTGATTGGTTATGACATCCGCTTGACAAGCTTGACAAGCGACAGATCGGAGTTCAAACCCCGGCTGGGTCACAACTTTTTTAAATTTAAATCTACTAATTTGACTATTTCATTCAGTAGAATTTGACTAATTATTAGTGACTGTTTTTTCGCTTTAACATTTAGTCATATATGACTTATAATTATTTATTTTAGACTAATTCATTTTAAGAGAGTAAACTAGTCGAGAAGTGAGTTTTCTGTAGGAAATGAATCGAGTTTTTCCGTTTGTCTGAAAATACGAACAAGAGCTTATTGGATTCGTCTTCTAGCAAAGAAAAAAATTGTTATTTCTAAAAATTAAAAAAAAAAGTGTGTGTCAGCTCTGACACGTAACTAGAGTTTACTCTTTATGAACATGAACGATTATAAAATACATATTTTTTGTACTTGTGGACGACGTCCACTGGACGTACATTAAACGTCCGTCGACATATATGTGATATCAGACGTCCTACGGATTTCCATTTAAGGTTTTTTTTTCAAAACTTAGGTACTATTTTCCACCAAATACTGTACAATACATTCTACAGTATTTGGTTCCACGCAAGTCCCACTTTGACATTTGAATACAAAAAACTGAGGTTAGGCATCTGTCAGTTTAACGCTTATTTCGTCTTATTATAATATAATAATACAATAAATGTGCATAAAGGTCCTAATTTAGAACACACAAAATACATATATAATGGACGTCCATGGGATGTAGTGTGCTGTATGGGAATCCTAGACGTTAAACGTGTTTTTGTCGTTCTTTAACGTCTGATGACCCGACGATGATTTATGGTTATTTTATGCAGATATACCGCCATATTTACTACTGTTCTAACTTTAATTGCCATTAAATAGAAAAATATCGAATAAAAAGTTAGGGCTATTTTTGTAACTTTGCCCCCCCAAATGTAACGCCTATGATTCAATTTTAACAGTTTTGATCTAAGATCTAGATTCAGCATGTCAAAATTATCAAAGTACCAAAAATTTATATCTTCCTATTCAAACCTCTAGGAATAGTTTAAAAAAATGATCCTCTTAGGCTCCTATTCAGGGGGCCGTAGCTCCGTTAGGGGGCATTTTTTGATACATGTTTATTAAACAAACAAGTGTTATTTTTCTATAAAGAATGCACTTTTTAAGTTTGGCCCCCTAATTTCGGGACACCCTGTATAGGCAAGAATTTTCTAGTAGGCTTTAGGACAAAAGTGACGTTTGGGTTATTTATAATAGTTATATTTTTTATAATTTTATAAAAAAAATTTGAAATATTAACTCTGAAAAAAATTGGGGATGTTTTTGTAAATTTGCCCCCCAAATGTTACGCCTATGATGAAATTTTAAAAGTTTTGATCTTTGATCTAGATTCAGCATGTCAAAATTACCAAAGTACCAAAAATTCATTTCTTCATGAACGTTTTAATGAAAATATGAGATAATAATAATGAGAGTAATTTATTTATAAATGCATTTTTCTCGAAAATGGTGGATCTGAACGATCTAAATAAAGAGTACCTATTTTTCGTAAAAACTATAAATTTTAATAATTTCATAAACAAAAATTAAAACATTAACCTAGAAAAAAGTTAGGGCTATTTTTGTAACTTTGCCCCCCCAAATGTAACGCCTATGATTCAATTTTAACAGTTTTGATCTAAGATCTAGATTCAGCATGTCAAAATTACCAAAGTACCAAAAATTTATATCTTCCTGTTCAAACCTCTAGGAATAGTTTTAAAAAAATGATCCTCTTAGGCTCCTATTCAGGGGGCCGTAGCTCCGTTAGGGGGCATTTTTTGATACATGTTTAATAAACAAACAAGTGTTATTTTTCTATAAAGAATGCACTTTTTAAGTTTGGCCCCCCAATTTCGGGACATCCTGTATAGGCAAGAATTTTGACGTTTACGTCAAAATTCTTGGCCAAGAATCTGGTCGAATTCTGGTCACAGACTTGTCGCAAGTCTGGCACCAGTCTGGATAAAGAATTTTGATCAAGAGTCTTGGTCAAGAATTGTCCAATTCTTTACAAAGTGCTTTTCCAAGTATCTTGACAAAGAATCTTGTCCAATTCCATTGCTACTAGGGTACATGAAACTGTCACCTGTCTTGAATTATTCTATTTTTTCCTAAACATGGCAGCCGTATTCCAACGACCACGCGAGTCCATTTCTATGGTTGTGATTTAATTGTGAATTTTTATGCCATGTAAAATAATTTTCAAATCGATTTTATGCGAAAACAGTGTATGTTATCGAAGTTCAACAAGATGAACTTTTTTATGTGCAAAACTCTAAAATTTCGTAATCTGACACCAAATTCTGGTACAAGATACGTACAAAAAAGTTAAGGTGGTTTTAACCCTACTTCCTATCAATCTGACCCAAACCTCGTAAAAAATTTTAAATTGTTATTGTTACGTCTTATTGGTCATAAAAAGTTTAATTAATTCCCCAAATTTCACTTTTATATCTTTAACGGTTTTGGAGATATTAAATAAAAACCATCTTCAGGGGCTTTCCTTTTGGGGGCTGAAGCTCCTTTAAGAGGCATTTCTTGACCTATGTTTATAGGGACTTTTTTTCTTATTTTTGCACGTACAATTTGCTGTTAAAGTATGGTGCACTAATTTCAGGACACCCTGTATAATAAATTACCTACAATTTTATTTATAAAAACAGTTTTGTGACTTGTCCCGTCCGCATGCCTGAAATGACCCAATTGGTACCTCCTTAATATGCGTATTTTTTTTATTTTCATGTTTACATGAAAAATCGGTCTCTTTATCTTGAGTTTTATTTTAACCATCCTAAAGCTTTAAAACCAAAAATTTCATCAGCAGACACGATTTTAGTAACATCTTTAAACGTAACAACGAAAAATCACTAGGTTAACTTTGACGAGCCCTATCTCCCACACCAAAAATTGCACAAAAAACTATTAACACCAACATTATTAAAAATTTAATTATTTACAACCAAAAACAATACTTAAGATACAGGGTATTATGAAATTAGTGTAATATATTAAAATACTGAATACCTTTTGACATAAAGTGTAACAGAAAAACATTTAAAAAGATATTTTTCCAAAGATATGGAAAAAATATGTATTAGAAGTTCACAGTTCACAAACTTTAAATATTTAATTTGTGTAAATAAATCCAAAAGCACTTCCCTTAGTTAAGATATTTACAATTTGAGCACATAACCTAAAATTTGAAAGAAATGCAATAGATTCTGTTATAAAAGTTGTTTGAATTTACCTTCATAACAAAAATGACATACTCAACAATTAATAAAAACGCTAAATTAACAATTTGCACTGTTGATTTTGTAATTAAGCTAAATTTAAACAAAATCTGGCAACATAATAAATTAAATTAGGCAACCAGATTAGTCTAAAGTTCCTAGTCGATAAGTGGCGTACTTTTTGGTAGGATAAAGGTTTATAAATTATTTTTAGTCTTTAGAATTTAGAAAAAAAAGTTTCAGATGCTTCTTTAAGGAACTACCCATTTTAATACAATACATTAATTACATAACACCCTGTATTTTAAAAACTCCTCGAGATATCTAGCAAAAAGTAAAGGGTACTCACCCAGGCAAAACGATCTCAGACACTAAAGTCTCCGTACTCGTCTCAACGGAATTCTCGAAGCTCTCCACACCTTTCGGCAACGTTGCCACGCCTCCCACGCAATCTCTGAGCAGTTTGGCATCGCGCACCGTCGCACACTCTTCGCTGCGCGACAAGCTGTCGTCGGTCATCGAGTTTTCGCCAGAGTTACTGGCGGTCGCGCAGTAGCCGTTCGTTTGCGGCGGCGTTGCCACGTCGTCGTCAGTCTTCTCTTCGCTTATCACAATTTGCGACGTCTCGGCCGCGTACACCGGTGCCAAGTCCACGGTTTCCGTGGACTGAAACAGCGGCTGCTTCGAATCCTGAATTAAATTCGACAACGTTGATTTTGAATAACAAATTTAAAAATACATGAAAATACGTTCAACCCAAAAGCGCGAACACTCGATATTTTTTTCATTTTATGTTTCTAGGAGGTCAACCGATCATTTTAAGCCCAAAATTATAATAGGTCATAGGTCATCCCTTGAGGAAATTTGATTTAAAATAAAATACCCTTTATATATTAGGGTGATTCCAAAAAATCGAATTTAGGCACCTTAGAAAGTGCTCACCAAATTTGATCTCTTAATATTAATAGGAAGATCCTCATCAGTTTTCCATTCTTTCTTTTTTTTATCACCTTGTTTACACGTTGCTAAGGATTTTAACACTTTTCTTGATTTGACATTTGTTGACATTTAAATACTATGTTTGTTAAATGATTAAAAAAATGAATTATAAACTCAAAAAGATCGATGGATTGGTGTAAACCATAATAAAATTAAGGTAAGTTTGAATAAATAAGGTTTATTAAAGTCTTTTTATATTTTAAAGCACATTTTAATTTTAAATGTCAAACTGACAATTCGTTAAATCCTACAAATTTAATTTATGTTAATGAGTGTATAGAAAAGTATATAAACGACAAATACTTATTAATATCTTAAAATGATTTAAATCAAAAATTTGTATAGAGCGCCATCTACGAAACAACAGGGGAAACTGTCAAAATGTTTTTACATTTTATAAACACAATTATAAAGGTTATAAATCGAAATGTATCTTGAAAATTGACAGTTTTTCACAGTGAAAGTAAAGGAAATGTTTTATGAGGACTTTACAGTAGAGTCCGTGCCCGAATTTAAGTTATAGTTTACTGCCGGCGAAATTAAAAGGTCAGTACAATGTTCATAACAACTTTTCAAATATTGGCGTTGAGAAACTATTTAATATTTTTGTATTGAGATAATAAAATAATTTTCACATTTAGTATTATTTTACAAGAAAGGCACTTTATTTTAACGATTGTATGACATTTGACAACTGTCAACTAACTTAAAACTAACTTCAGCCCGTGACTAAAGCGCCGTAAAGCCACAACTTGTCAATGTGTATTTAAAAGGTCACTTAGTGTCATGGAAACATGTACTAGGGCGTTTTAAAGGTGGGAGTAGAAGGTGGGAGTAGAAAATAGTATATTATGTAACAAGTTTTATAAACGCCATTTTAGTTACGAGTTTTATTAGGCACGAGTGAAGCTTGCGAGCGAGTGTTTAATAAAAACGAGTGTCTAGAGAAGTTTATAAAACGAGTTGCATACTATACTTTATCTACGACGAACAGAAATAAGAATTTAAAGACAATTTTATTTCATAAAATTTGACATTTAACAAATTTAACCTCACTTTTTCGCAATGTATAATAAAGCTAACTTCAGCCCGTGACTAAAATGCCCAAAAGCCACTGTTGTTAACTTCAGCCCGTGACTAAAATGCCATAAAGTCACAACTCGTCAATGTAGGAGTAGATAAAATTAATTATATTTTCTCACTAAATATAACTCGTGGAATGATTAATTATCGATGATATTTACTTATTGAAACCGAAGCAGCACATTTCACTCGTCCTGCGGAGTCGTGAAATCTGCAGCTCGGTTTCAATTCGAAAATATCATCGATGATAATCATACCACTTGTTATATTATGGGTGATAATAATTTATTTGAAATATGTTTTTTTTACTTTTTTAAACTTTGGTAAGACTAAAAATAGTTTGCATATTAGTTAGTTAGTTAGTTATGTTAGTTTGTATTAGTTTTGGTTCAGTTTGTATTAGTTTTAGGTTAAACTTACTCTTAGTTAATCTTAGTCTTCAATATATATGTTAGGCTTAGATAAGTATCTGTTCAGTTAAATTTAAGTTTAGTTTATGTTATGTTTTTAATAGGGTCAGATTAGCTAATAATATTAGTTTTACTTATACTAAGACAAGTTTTAGTAAAATTTAAATATATTTAAGTGTACCTACTTTATAAAGTTAAAATTAGTTTATTAAAAACAAGTTTTTAAACCTAATTAATAATAAATAAATATCAACTCTTATATTTTAACTTAAAATGAATTTTGTAAAATACAGCCCTGATAAATAATTTGTGCAATAGAAAAAAATAATTTATTGGGGAATATTCTAAATGGGGTTGTTTATATGTAAATAAATATTTTTTACCAAAATAAAATAAACTAAAATTTAAAGTTTTTAAAGGCAAAACAAAAAAAGAATCAAAGATATGTAAAAAAAAATCAAATCAAATTTCCTAGAAGGGATGACCCCTCAATCTATTTTAATTTTTGGCTAAAAATAATCGGTTGACCTCCTAGAAATATAAAACGAAACAAAATTTCTACTGTTCGCACTTTTGGGTTAAACGTATTTTTAACGTACCGTGTGCGGCAACACTGTATTTTTTGGTATTTACCTGTACATCATCTCCGGGCGGGCAAATACTCTTCTCTTCGACGATATTGTTGGTCGTTAAAAGTTGCGTCGAATCCGAAAAATTCGCCTGTTGCTGCAAATTTTGGCCCAATCCGTCGATTTGGTCATCGGTTAGGCCCTGATCTTGCGACGTTGCCGCGCCGTTTTGCGTTTTGTATAGGCAATCCGGCGTGCACTCCTCCCCGTTGTCGCTCGAAGTGTCTAAATAATCTTCCAAGGGGAGAATGTGGGTGCCGTTGCTGACGGGGTCGTGTATCGGGGTTTTTTCCTGAGTTATGGGGGATAATTTTCTAAAATAAATTGTGTTAGGTTAACGATTATTAAATCTGTCAATTTTTTTGTTATTTACATTTTTTTCTAGGAGTTATAGTAAAATTGAGTTTAAGTTGGAATGTTGTTTTTCTATAAGCATAACCGTGCGGAAAGTTGGCGCAATTTTTGTGCAATTTTAAATACTTTTGGGTTTGATTTTTAATTTTGATTCGTAAACAAGTTAGTTAAAACGAAAAATACAAAAGTTACAGTGTTTTTAAGTTTGTCTTTGAAATTTCGGGAAACTATGATTTAAAACGACAGTACTTTAACTTTAACTTTAACCTAAAACCCTAGGAAAAAAACTTTAAATTTTTATACCACTGTAAAAATTGCCATTTTTTGTTTTCAAATAACAGAGGTGCAAAGTTTTCAGTTTTTCTTTGACAAACTTAAAAAATATTCCCCGGATCGGGTTGCCAATAGAAAAAACTTAAACAAGCAGGAGTTTTTATGAAGAATGACTTTTTTCGTAAAACGCATAATAAAAAAGTTTTTCTTACTGGCAATCTTATCCTGTAAATGGGTCATTCCACCAAATAATTATTTTTTTGTAGTGTGACCCCTCGGATTTTTTAAAATTGTTGTGGAGTTATTCTTTACATTAAAATAATGACTCACTGAGTAAATTTTATTTTGATGTACTTAAATTATGTTTTATAAAGTGAAAAATGCGATTTTTCTGTCCTTGATTGGATTTTTGTATCTAAAAGCTGAGAATTTTTTACAAAAAATGTCATTTTACAATGGGGTTATTTTTTGTTTAAATACAATAAAACAATACAAAAACAGACACAGTCCATTGTTATTTACGTTTGCTTATATTTAAAATTCATATTTTGAGGCAGTAATCGTTAATTTAGCCAGATAATGTATATGACATTAAAATACATATTTTTATGACAAATCATAAGGTTAAAGCAGCACAAGTCTATAATATATATGAAGATATATATCTTGACAAGTTTTTATGATATGATTGCTTTAAATAAAAAATAATTTCTTAGGTCCAAAACCGTGTAATTAACGAGTAAATTATCAATAATAAATATTACTGTCAGAGTATTTAATTGAGGTCTTCCGCAGAAGTACCGTTTTATGAATACTAAAAATACTAAATCAAACTGGCATAAGCTACCAACTTAATAAAAAACACGAGTCCAAATAAAACAAAATAAACTGTAGGATTGTTGTTTGTGTGCATGTAGTTGGCGCAACTTTTGGTCGATTTTGTATTCTTAAATAAACAATCTTTACCAAGACTTTAAGAAAATTTGGTAATACAAAAAATTAAATGTTGCAATGGTTTGTAAATTTCGCGAAACTATACACGCTCATTACCTGGAATAATTTTACACCCTCATCTTTAAATGCTAAGATATCTATAACCATAACTCCCAAAAAAAAAATAAATTCAAAACTCACGAATCACAGTTGATACTGGGGTCGCTGTTTCTTCTGTAGAGAATCGTGTGTTCCCCGGGATTTAAAAGATCGCCGTACGATCTGGTTTTAGTCATTTGGTGGGGAAACATACCGGGGGGGCCGGGGCACGCCCCTGACCCCCCTTCCTGGCCCCCCGCGTTCGCCTCCATGGAGCCCAGATAGACTTCGGACCACAGGAGGAGATCTCGGACGTTGCAAAGTGGCCACAGTATCTAATAAAAATGAAGTTTTAAATGAGAATATTGTTTTTTTGTGTTTTTATTTTACCTTTTTGCCACAAATGTTGCCTAGCGGGGCGTACAAGTGGTTTCTGAAGCATGGGGACGTTAAAAATTCCCATACAGAAAATGTTTTGCCGTATACAATTTTTGACCTTTCTTGCTGTGTGTTGCAAAGAAATGTACCAAAAAGGTTTGAGTAGGTATGTTGAGCTAACTTTACCTAAAATTTACATAAAAACAACTGCAAAAAAGACACGCATAACACAACTTACCAAATAGGTTTGCGAAAATTCAAAAGCGCAAGGAAATTGGTTTAAAAGTTGATGTACACAATCTAGCCATTGTAGAAAAACTGGACAACGTTCGTTTTGGTCCTCACTGCCTGTGGAATGTCCACATCTATCGGCAAATTTGTGACCAAACGCCAGCCATTCTCTTTCAATTAACGTTCTAAAACCCTGTAGAAATACAACATTAAATAACACTGTCAACAGCCATTTTGCTGCTTTTAAAAAAAAAAACATTTTAGTATTAATTGGATCGGTGAGAATAAGAACATTATATTTTATAAAATAGTTAAAAATATTCCCACAAAAATGCATTTAAACTGATTTTTTGAAATATTTCGTCAAAATTTTGACTTTTTGACTTCTACTGTTCTTAATCTCAACGATTCAATTAGGTATATATATAATTTTTAAGGAGACATATATGAGCCCTGTCTCAGTGAAGTTGGCCCAACCACTCAAAATATAAAATTTGTAATTTTATGCGATGAAAAGCCAACAATTTTTTATCATATGTAATTCTTGGTCAATCTTCATGTTGTAAAATATGTGTATGTATATTATTTAGTTTTAAGTTGGATGTTTGGTTACAATCTCGGTTACAATACAAAAAAATCGACAAAAATGCATTAACTTGGATGGCCAGATTTTTTAATGCAAGTCGGCTGTGCTAAAAGTAAAGATAATATTTGACATTTAAATAATTGTAAGCAAGTCGCTAGTGACATTCCAGTATATATTTATGCTTTCGGTGTGGTTGACAAATAATAATGTCCCGAGGAAAAGCTGTTTCTGAAGAAATAAAAAAAGTGATAATTCACTTGCATTTAAAAAGAAAATCCGCTGCACAAATCGCTGAAACTGTTAATTTGTCACGATATACAGTGCGAAATATTATTAAACTGCACAAAACTACAGGATCTGTGGCGCAGAAACCAAAAAATGGAAGTCGTCCTCACTATTCTGATAAAAATTTAAGGGCTTTAAGAATAATTATCGTTCAAAATCGTAGGGCTAATTACGGTGAATTAAAAGTTTTGTGGAATCAGGCAACGAGTAAATGTTTTTCAAGAGCAACCTGTCATAGAGCTGCTCAAAAACTTGGGTTTAAAACTTACAAGGTTTGCTTATAATGTATACGATTTTTATTTATTTTTAATTTTACTATCTGTAGGCAAAGGAAAAACCTTTATTGACAAAAAAACAGAAGAAAAATAGACATCTTTGGGCAAAAGAGCACAGGAATTGGTGTCAAAATCAATGGGATTCAATTATATGGAGTGACGAAGCTAGATTTGAAGTTTGCGTTGGTGATAATCGAAGCCAAGTCATTAGAACTAAAGCAGAAGTCTTTCACAATCACTGTCTTGAGAAAAAAGTAAAGTTTCCGGCCTCTGTGATGATTTGGGGATCTATGTCAGCTAAAGGGATCGGTAAATTACACTTTGTAGAGGGAATTATGAATGCTGATAAATATATTTACGTCCTAAAAAATAACTTAAAACCGCAAATTGAAGAAATGCGTTTAACTGATATTGAATGCATCTTCCAACAAGATGGTGCAGCGTGTCATACGGCTAAAAAAGTGAAAGCTTGGATGATAAAAAATAATATTTCACTTTTAAAATGGACATCTAGTAGTCCAGATCTTTCGCATATAGAAACTTTGTGGCATATTATGAAAAAGAAGCTCAGAGAACAGCCCGCAAGAACCGTCTTAGAGTTGCGTGCTCGCCTGCAAGAAATTTGGAATAATTTTACGCCAGATGATTGTCAAAAATTGGTTGACACCATGCCGAGACGTATACAGGCAGTAATAAGCCATAAAGGAGATGTTACGCAGTGGTAGTTTCCAATTAAAATGTATTTATTTAAAATATTTTTTTTTCTTAATTTTTGGTTTACGGACAATATAAGAGAATTTAAAATATTTTTTTATTAGGTACTTAAAAATACAATTTAACGGTAGAAAATTTAATAAACGTTATTTATTTAATTAAAAAAATGTGTTAATTTTAATTAATTACCGTATAATATTCTAAATATCTTCAAAAAACTATTTTTGTTAGTTGGGCCAACTTCACTGAGACAGGGCTCGTAAACCAAAATAGTGTGCCAAAAAAAGACGATATTGTTTTTTTTTCGTTCACATGAAAAATGTTTGTACGAATTTTCAAAAAAAAAACAAAAAAAAACATTTTAGTATTAATTGAATCGGTGAGAATAAAAACATTATTTTTTATAAAATAGTTAAAAATATTCCCACAAAAATGCATTTAAACTGATTTTTTGAAATATTTTGTCAAAATTTTGACTTTTGGACTTCTACTGTTCTTAATCTCAACGATTAAATTAGGTATATATATATAATTTTTAAGAAGACATATAAACCAAAATGGTGTGCCAAAAAAAGACGATTTTGTTTTTTTTCGTTCACATGAAAATTTCATAGGAAAACGTCGAAATTAAAATTCTGTCCAAATCCCAACCCTTAATTTCAATTTAAAAAGGTGGATCATCGAGTTTTAAAATTTCCTATATTAATACCAGAGGAAAATGTTCTTTTTTCGTGTTTTCCCCTGCATTGAATGTAGCCATTTTTTTTTTCATATAAAGAGCATTCAATTTTACACAAAAAAGTCAACTTTCTATAGTTTATATTTTACTTACTGAAGGATAACTATTAATGTTAAACTATAATTAAAAAGTTATAGACCCACCAAATGTCATTTTTAGTATTTTTTTATAGTAGTAGGAAAACTATTGATGATAGGTCAAGAAGTTAAAAAGCAGTTTTATAGTGCTATGCTCCACACACAAAAGTCTTGAAGAGCTACAAGGTCAAAAAAGTCCAAAGATAATATTATCTTTAATTAAGTCCATTAAAATGGCATTTAAAAATTGTAAAAATTCATCGGCGCACAAATAATTTAAATAAAACTAAAAACGTGTCAAAGTCAAAAATCGTTATAACTTTTTCATTTTTATCCAATTGGTGATTTTTAGTAATTTCAAACAATAGACAATTTGCAGTAATTTTCCAGAAGCTTGGCTTTAATATTTGATGGTTTTGTAAATTTTCGTTATTCGTTCGTGAATTTTGTAAATGGCGACTATTGAATTTAAATTATAATGTTAGACGTAAGTTTAAAAAGCCGTACTAGGTTAGGTGGCCACTGGAGGGCGCCACTACTCGGATGGTAAAAACGGGAGCTGCCATCCCGACGGAGAGGAAGAAGAAGAGAGCGTTGTTTTGGAGTAGATAAGCTTGGTGTCATTTTTAATTTTAAAATAAATTAAAACAGTTTACCGGTCATATTATTTAAAATACCTGACAACAATAACATTAAAACTAAAAATTAATTTTCTCACTTCCTATACCCATAAAAAATTGTTCCAGTCGGTATTTTAATGAAAATGTCCTCTAAATTAAGATCTTTATAGACAAAAAATACATATATTGTATTATTTTCAGAAAATAAGACGAAATTAGCGTTAAACTGACATTACCAAATATTTGTATTGAAATTTCCAAGGTGGGACTTTTGAGTGTGAAGTACAGTACTATAAAATTGCTTTTTGACCTATAATCAAGTTGACCTATTTTAGGTAACCTAGTACAATTAAAAAATCATAAAAATTAGACTTTTTAACTATTATTGATGCAATAAATTTGTGTACTATAGAGTTGCTATTTAATTTTTCGGCCTATCATCATCAATAGTTTAGTTTAAAAATTAAAAAAAACGGGTAATTTTTAGAAATTTTCTTTAAGCACGTTCTTTAGTAAGTAAAATATAAACGATAGAAACTTGACTCCAAGAATTTTTTTGTAGAAAATGTAATGCTATTTAAGGATCACCAGTCATTTATGTGAAAAAAGTGGTAACATACCGTGTGACCCATTTGTTTGTGACTCACCCCTGTAAAATCTTTATTCATTGTGCGATTTTAACCGGATTTGTTTTAAAGTGTATTTTTGAAGCAAAAAACGCCATATTTTTAAAAAATACAAGGCCTACTATGTCAGTTTTTTAGAGTAAATTTTTAAGATTTCATATTAGCGATTTTTAAAAAAAATCCAAGCACGGCACTGGATTCACCACCCCTCAAAACGACCATATACTGAATTTTATTGATAAATTTTAAGAAAAAGACTACAAAAATTTATTTTGTCAAGTTATCCATGAAAAAAACATTGATATAAAATTAAACTAATAGTAACATGGTACTATTACCATAATTTTTTTTCATGAATAACTTGACAAAATAAATTTTTGTAGTTATTATTGTGTATTTTTCTACTTAAAATTTTTCAATAAAATTTAGTAAAGGGTCGTTTTAAGGGGTGGTGAATCCAGTGCCGTGCTTAGATTTTGTTTAAAAAAATCGCTAATATAAATTCTTAAAAATTTACTCTTAAAAACTGACGTAGTAGGCCATGTATTTTGTACTAATATGGCGTCTTTTGCTCCAAAAATACAGTTTATCAAGATCTTTAAAACAAATCCGGTTAAAATCGCACAATAAATTAAGATTTTACAGGGGTGAGTCGCAAACAAATTGGTCACACTGTAGAATGCAGGAAAAAAAATCCTGTTCTATGAGAAACTTAAAAACTTGATGATGCCCTTAAAATTTAAATTATACAGGGTGTCCAGAAAAGGTAGGGGGTATTTGTAAATTCAATAAAAATAAAATTACAAGTCAGAAAATAATATTTTTCTTTTTGAATTTTTAGACAAAGTTTTGGAAAATTAAGTCCCAAAGATTTTGTTGTCCAAATGTTGACCCTCGCGCTGCTGGCATTCCTCTAACCGAAAACGGAAATTAACTATCACGCGTCTACTCATATCTCTGAAAACAACGGCCATTTCGTTGCGGATGCTGTGCTTCAATTGCAGGAGAGTTTGTGGTCTATTTTTATAAACTTTCTCTTTAAGGTATCCCCATAAAAATAATCAAGTGATGAAGGAATCATTGGGCCTTACATTTTTGAAAACCGACGAGGGCTAGCACTTACGGTAAACAGGTTAACCGTTCACTGCAGTGAACGGTATTGCGACATGTTAGAGAAACTTTTTGATTCCACAACTGCAGAAGTTTGAAGGTTTTAATGTGAAAACATGGTTTTAATAAGATGGGGCCCCTTGCCACCCCTTAAATCAGTCACTTGAGGTTTTCAATCAAATTTTCCCGAAAAAAGTGATCTCTCGACGTGGCACCATTAACTGGCTTCCGAGAAGCGCCGATCTTACACCATTTGATTATTTTTGTATGAGGAAACCTTAAAGATAAAGTTTATAAAAACAGACCACGAATTTTCCTGTAATTGAATCACAAGATCCGCACCGAAATGGCCGCTGTTTACAGAGATATGTGTAGACCTGCAATAGTGAATTTCCGTTTTCGGTTAGAGGAATGCCAGCAGCGCGAGGGTCAACATTTGGACAACAAAATCTCTGCCACTTAATTTTCCAAAACTTTGTCTAAAAATTAAAAAAAAATATATTTTTTTCTGACTTGTAGTTTTATTTTTATTGAACTTACAAATACCCCCTACCCTTTCTTGACAGAATTTTTTTAGAAGTTTTCTATGAAATTTTTAGGTGAGAGCTAAAAAACGCCTTTTTTTGGCACACCCTTATTTATTATACATATTTATAATACACATAGAAAATTAATTGATGCACCCTGTATTGTTGCGAAATTTTAAGTCGCAGTAGGTTTGGAGTTATTAATGATTTTGTAAATAAGTAGGAAACATTTTAATATATTTTTAATCACTTAAATTACCTTGAATTCTTATAAATTTGAAAAATGTATTTAATTTATGATTGATCGATTTTTTTGAATGCGAAAAAAATTATATAAACTTTTTGTGGATTTTTTTTCTTTAATTTAAAAAAAATCTCTACACAGTTTTTGAAGGATCCGGCCCATTTATGGTAAGGATCTAATTAATGTCCCAAATCCGCTTTTGTCCTTCTATGGTATATATATTTACTCGTTCTATTCCTAATTAGAATGTTTCAATATTGAAAAAAATTTTTTCGCAAAATCGCATTTTTTGATCAGCATGTGTTGGCGGTGCAGCAACATTTTATTTTATTTTATATGCCCGTGTAGGTAATATACGACAAAAAATCACTTACGTCTACTGTCCGATAGTAAGGGTCCAATAACAGTTCTGCTAGCGCTACAATTTGCGGAGTTCTGTCCCAACCGTCAGAACAGTGGACCAATACGGGACGAGCGTCCCTTTCGACGGCTGTTACCAAGGTAACGGCCGCTTTCATCAAACCTGACATGTGCAATAACCAACGCGTACCTTCGAGTTGACTGAACCAACTGTAAATAAAATTGAAATAAAAAAAAGTGTAAAAATTACCTGAAACATGTTGTAAAATTAATATTTACCCAAAAACGACTTTTTGGGTTTTAAAACTTGATCAAAACATGTTTAGATAAATTACTATGAAAAATAATTATATTTTTATAGTCGATATCGAAACGCATTTATCAAACTATAAATTCCATTTTATGAATAGAATGGAAATTAAAATTTAGTGAAAATACTTCAAGTAAATCTTCAAAACACTTACTTGGGTTGTTCAGCCGAAGATGTGCAAAGTTGCCTCAAAGCGTGGAAGCTTTTTCTGATGGAATGTATGTTGGCCAAATTCATGAATTGAATTTCGCAATTTGGATAATATTCGGGACATTCGCAACCCCCTCCCCTCGCCCTATTGGCCACGGCTGTGGTGTAAGATCTCGCGTCCATAATCAAAACCTATTGAAAAAGAAAAGAAAAAAAAAATTATTAATCCCAATGATTCTTTTTGAATGTATACATTTTAAGTAGCATTATAGTGACGAAAACTGATATCGCCACTTCAAATGAGTGGCAATAACGTTTAAATAACTAAATCTACCACGATACAGTTAAAATATCTCCATATTATATTAGTATAGTTGTAATCATGTGATTTGCACCAGCAGAATATACTTCATAGTTTTATAACTTTTTGGTGTATTAGTCTGGTATCTGGAACGTTATGACCACTTTTGCCACCACCTTAAAGTTGTCTAAACTTTAGAGTGGATTATGAATAGTAACTGTAACCAAATCACATCACTTAAGTATTACTTTGAAGTGGCAGTAGTAGTAAAGTTTTGGCAACGTTTTCGGAACTTTTCCCAAACCTTGAATGTGGCAAAACTTGATTATATAACTGCGGTGGTGATTGCCACGTTCCTGCTACATGCTTAAGTGATTTCCACGTTTCGTATAGAATTACCACTTTAAAGTTCCCTTCTTCAAAAGCAGACATGTTTACAAATAATCGCCATTGTAGGGAAATAAATGTGTAGTTTTAAACAAATAATTCTGGTTATTACCGCAGCAAATTTAACACGTTAATACATATTTATTGGTTTCAGGTGACCAGAATTATAAAAATATTATTTTAGGCCTCTAAATAAATAATTTTCATATCCAATAAGTTTATAGATTTTTTTGTTCTTTTTTATTACAACATATTTCAACAGGGCGTGCTTATATTTCAAGTTATGAAACCCATGTTTAACACTGTTAAATTAAATTAACAGTAAAATTTAATTCGTGTTAATTTTATGTCTTTGGATTATTTTAAATCTAGTTATTATTTGCAATTTGCAATCTTACAATATTATAATTCATTGTTAGTTTAATATCCAGTCAGAGAAAGCAAAGTTAATAAGATAAATAATATGCTGGAAAGAGACGGGGATAGAAAGTAAAGATTAGTAAAGTTACGATTAAGTTTTGGCCACTATACCTCCACGTTATAGTAACGTAATCATAACGTGGTATTAACGTGTCTGTATACAATTCAAGAACGTTGTTGAAACGTAACTGACACTAAAAAAGTGTTGCCCATTTAAGTCACTTCCACGTAATAGAACTGTTTCTACCACGTGGCAGACATTTTGGCAATATACTTTACAGTTCCAAGTATAAGTGGCCAACACGTTATTACCACTATAAATGCTACTTAGGTATAATTTACGTCTCAAAACTGCACGTTTTGAAAACGAATAACTGTGAACAACTATTTACGAAAATGCAAAAATAAGTTAAATTAAATTGAAAAAATGCCAACTTACTTTTTTCTTTTGCGACGTCACGCTGTTGCCGATTTGCAAGGTATCGGAATCGCTGTGAAGCGATTCGGGGGAATGCGTCCTATCACTTCCGGCGTGAACTTCGAAACTGCAAGCATCGGAGATGGCTTTGATCAAGTCCTCGTCCTCGCCGGATCTCCAACCCAACCAGCCCACTTCCGGTTGACTGCATCTCGCGATTACTGCGCCATTCCTCGTATGACTAAAATTTAAAAGTTTTCATTATAGTACGAAAATTTTCAGGAAACTTCGGTTACGGAAAAAATCCCGGAAATTTTCTATAAATTACTTAAACTCACAGGAACTTTGAAAATGTTCATTTGAAATTAATAACTTCTATTAGTTTATTAATCTTACATAACCATAGTTAATTTTTGTCTTTGCTGTTATTTTGACTTCCCTAAAAGTGTTGTTATTCTTAAACAAGTCAACATTTTGATGACAACCTAATTTAATAGGTGTATTTATTTACGTCGTTAGGCCAATAAGTGAGTCGATTTGAGCTTTGCTTACACGGAATAATGAAATCGGCCAACCACTGTCGCAATTTTCTGTTTACTGTTGATTTTTATGTGCCTATGCCATAATCAATCACTTCACTGTTGACGACTATAAAGTTTAATTTATAGACCACTTGAGAAGATAAGTAAGGCGCATTGCAAATAAAAACAAATGCTATACAATTTTATCAACATAAAACATTTACCGAAAATTATAAAACCATTAATTCATTCATCTAAAAGTTTGTAGATATTGGGTTTTCTGGGCTACAAGGTTGATATGTGAAATTTTTTAATAGGTTAAAATATTTAGTAGATAATAATAAAGGAGAAAAACCCATAAAATTATGATTAAAAAAAAATCACATTGAATTATTCCCCTATAGATTTTACAATCTTCCGTAGTACAATTTTAAATAATTAATTGAAACTCCTTCAAATTTGAAAATTTTTGCTTCCGCGGTGAAGCTGTTATGACGTCACACATTTTTAAGTTTTAATAGCAAATATCGAAAATAAAAATTGCGGGTTTGTAGTAGTTTTCTTGAAATTTAAGTTTTAAAATGCAATTTTCGACAACATGTTTCCTAAAAACTACATGGACTTAGCAACAACTCTCTGAAATATGAATTAATTGAATTTTCCAAAAATATTCCCCCCTAATTTTACAGATACTGTTTCTGGGGATGCAAAATAAAGAATTTGATTTAAATTAATATTTCTCATTAAGGGGCCTTCTATAAATCTCGTGACGCTGGAAGGGGGGAGAATCGGAAAAAAATATTTAGAGATGTAAGTTCAATAGTTTGTCACATGACCCTTCAGGGGGATCTTCGTCAAATTCTGTAACGAGCGACGGGGTCAATTTTGACCATTTTTACGAGATTTATGGACGGCCCCTTATAATATTGATTCAAAAGTTTAGTTTAGTTTTAAAATTTTGTAATTTTATATTTAAAAAGAAACATAAATAGGTACCATAATTTATGTTAGGGCCGGTTTATCAATGTCCGGTTAAAGTTGCAGGATACCAGTTCTCACGATCGATATGGAATTTAACTGTCAGATAGACTAACTGGAACTAAACCAGAGATTGATAAACCGGCCCTTAATGATATAATTTTAAATCTCATGTTGACGGTTTAAGTAAAGTTTAAGTAAAGTTAAATTTAACACTATAAACATTAGGGTAATTCACTTCTCTTTTTTATGAATTTTGAAGTTCTGATTTTAAAAATTGATTGCAGGGCACCTCAAAATAGGCTTCCTTATTGCAGTTTTCCATTTTCAAGTATATCCCGTATGGTTAGGATACATGGCTCTTAACATGTTCACTGCTATCTAAAATTAGGCGCAAGGTCCAGGAGCTGATCGTTTATTTTGAAAATTTTAAAATTCAGTTTGGCAATAAGCTGTTATTACTAACTCGACCAAATAGATTTTTTAATTCCTCAAACACTTACGACTACGTATGTTTTTACACTTGAAAAGACAATGGACCCATGACGGATAGATCCGTCACGCGCACCCGGCAAACGTAGCCTATGACGGATATACGTCATGAGCAGTGAACGTGTTAATATGACAATGATTTTTTAAAAACTTTTCCCTTGAATCAGCCTAATAAACATACAGGGTGAGTCATTTAACTTGAAACTTTGACATATCTCAGTTAGTATGCATTTTACGAAAAAATGTTTAATATAAAAATTAAATGGTTCGAGGGGGAAATCAATCAGTACTAAAATTGGTCCTCATACTCTCCTTCTTATAGGGGGAACAGGGGGTAACTTTAAAATTTCCAATGGAACACCCTATTTTTTTATTGCAGATTCGGATCATTCGACTATAAATATGTAGATTTTGTCTAAAACATTTTTTCATATTTG